GCTCTCTCACTTGGCCTCAGTCAATCCCTACACTTGCCCCCAAGCACTAAAATGCTGCTTTGTGGAGAAGCATGCACAGTTTGCTCTGTAGGTGGTCACTGAAACATTAAAGCAGAGAGTAGTTGAAACTCCATAAAATTAACCACTTGCAAAGCACAATCCATTTTAAAGCAAGTAAAATGTTTGGGTTATATTTTGTTAATAGGGTCTTAGGGTGGGGTTTTGAACAAGTCCACACATACTCAAGGATATCAGAATGGATATGTGAAAAACAAAGTTATGAAATATAATTTCATTTTTAGGACAGGGCTGATTAGATTCAACACTGTGTAAAAAAACACAAGACCTTGTTCTTGTGCTGGGACAATCTTAGACCAAACATCCTGTTATGGCTACATCACCTCGTATAATTTCGTTAACCTAAAGCAGATTTTTCTTGCAATAATTTTAAGTGCTTGTTTGACTGAACCCCAGACATCCTTTCAGGCTCTTAAAGACCTTATAAACCCTGAACAAGAGGTCCGAGGCTTTTAGCCAATGTATTTTTTTCTTTTGAGGTTGGAGATCTGACTCACAAATAAATCACAAAGAAGGGAGCTCATGAGAGATAGTCCAGTCTGTTTGTTAACTTCCTAAAAAGGAGTTTATAAAAATGTTTTATGTTTACGTGTGTTTGTTTTTGTAGAACAAATAAAATTCAAAGGTAGACAAAAATGCAACCTAAATTAGCCTAAAATCACAAGGCTATAGGTCATTAATTTGGTTTTTCTTGGTGTGTTCTATTCATTAGGGATGCTAGCATTGATCTAACAAAAAGAAAACAAAACCCTTTTTTGTAAAGTCTGTTTACATAGATGGCAAGCCCTTTCATATGCCCAGTAACCGACTGGACGCATTATTGGATACCAACACAGTTCAAGCAATACTTATCAGTGACCAGTTTAATGATTCTGTTAATATTAAATGCATTGCAAATGTGTACCAAACATGTTGAAGCTAAGCTGAGAAAACCATCTTTAGAAGCACATTTATCTATTTTAGTTGATCAGTCACACTCTCATCTTCTTCCCATCATAATTAAGAGTTTCTTTCCATCATAATAAATCCATGGATGTTAATTTGAAGAAAGAATCTTTGCAAATATTTATGAGTGTAAACAAGACAATCTTGGGGACTATTCATGTTTGAAAGATCTGTGGATTGCTCTAAAAGGCACCCCACGGGTTTTACTTACTACTTTCTACAGGCGTCTTAAGTACTCTACAGGTTTTAATGATGATTTTACTGAACTGCTCTCAGCAGTCTCTTCTGAACTGAACTCTTTTATTATTGCTGGAGATTTTAATGTTCACATGGACAACCCTGTTTTTAGTGCTGCTTAGGACCTGGAAACTTTTCCGAACACCTTTGACCTGACTCAGCACTCAGGATAGAGTAATCAGTAAGGGTTTATGAAACATCCAATTAAACGCAGATTCAGGATATGTTTTATCAGCGATCAGCCTTCGAACCAGATCAAAACATCCTTCTTGACAGAATACTCTTTCTATGTGAGCATAGGTCACCACATGTCATGTGAAGTCCCTCAAGGCTCAATGCTTGTTTCTCTCTTGTTTAACCTGTACATGCTAACACTGAGTCAAATCAAGAGAAGAAACCAGGTCAGGAATCCTGAGGTGGTTCTGGAATACAATCTTGTTTGAATAATTCTTGCACATTTTCCATAAATCATATTAACTTTATTTCACTTCTCAAATATCAATGCGCTTGTCTTTTTTATGAAAATGTAAATTATATGAATTTTCTTATTTAGACTAACAATGATTTACAGGAGTGCCCAATCTTTTGGATACCATTGTAAATTGATGGCCGCGAATGCAACCGTACAAACGTATTTTCAAAAGATTTCAATACCTGCTTATTTTTCTTTCTAATTACTCAAACATATGCTTATTTCACTTTCTCTCTGACTGTTTTCATATTATAAGGATGTTGGAGAAGGAAGTCATGCAAATTGTTGAGAGCTGTCAGTGTAAAGCCACTTCTGGAAGCAGAATGAATGATTTAACAGCCAGAAAAAAGGTATTATTCAAATAAACAATGTTTTTTTTTTTTTAAATACTGGACACAAATAAGCTTCTAATGAAAATTTTGTTTATTATCACTTGAAGGTCATTCCAGAAAGACCTCTTTGGGTTAAGCAACAGGTTTATTAAAAACTATAGGGATGTTCCCTGGCTTTTTGTGATGTCTACATTGTATTGAGGGAGCGTCAATGGGGCCATGCATCATGGAAAATTTAACAACCCAGCAAGATAAAAAGTATTGGGGGACATCCACAGGACCGCCGTAGGGTCAATTTAATAGCTTTCACAAAGACATTCTCCAGACAGCAAACTTAATCGGCAGGCCTCTGAGGCTGTGGAACCACATGCTCCTCTCAAGGTCCCCTGGAGGACATCCAATAGCATGCCATAAGTGGACCTTAGAGGACGTGAGACATTTCCTGTTTCCTGGGAACCCCCTTTCCACACAGTAAGAAAACTGTGTTCAGTAACAGGTAATGAGTCGAGGATACAAAGCCCTATTAAAGTGTTGTTAAACCCTGTCTACATTTTGTAGTTTAATATGTGTCATTAATTAGGTTTCTGATTACTGAGGTTGCGACACTATTATAAGATGCATTTATAACAACAACACGCTATGCTAAATTAGCATGTTAGCTTCAAATGAATGCCAGATTCTGTATAATTACCCTGAAAACTACAAAGTCAACAGCTCTCATTTTAACTAAACCACAGAGGATAGACTTGGCACTGATGTAGAGTATATAACAGTTATTTTACTGTAATAGGCCAATGGGGATTGAGCACAATAAGATTAAACAACTTTTAATCATTTAGCTGCAGCCTACTTACACAAATAGCTTTGTTTTCCAGATGCCCCCATGAGGATTTCTTGTGAGAACTACTTTATGCACATATGCCTCACTACCAATCTATAATTCCTACAGAAAATATGCTGAATCATGGTTGTTTTAATACTAAAACCCTTTTTATAGTGTTTATAAATAAATAGCTAAAAAATGTGTAATGCATCTTAGACATCTTACATCTTCATTCATTATATAGTGGAATGCATTGAGAAAATATAGTTGTGTAGAAATTTATGAAATAAATACATAAAAATTTGGCATTTTGTGAAATATGCAATAATAATATATTATGGTCCTTAATGAACACCAAAATCTAGCTTTCCCTACAGTTGTAAAACAGGAAGAAAATTAGAATCCAAGGAGAATTAGAATCCACAAGTTTGCAGAAATGGCAAGAGTATTTGGAGGAAGAGATGTAATGAGATGCCAATGAAAAAAAGTCAACTTTCTCAGAATTACTGATTTAAAGATTATTCCGAAAACTGTGGCTACCAATAACCCTCCTTTTTGCAATATTTTACCACAAATGGAAACAATTGTGCACAATTTAATTTTATTTTACTTCCGACAGTTATCCTTTCTGACAGTTATCCCTTCTTTTCTTGATGGTACTGAAGATTGGGGTTCAACCGATTTGGGGTCTGCAAACTGAAATTGAAAGACGATTGAGCATTTTCTCAAGTTAAATTTGAATTACCTTGAATTGAATATGCCTTTGGCTACGGTAACCGCATCCATACTCACGAGTGAAAACTGGAGAGCTGCCAACTCACACACTGAACGTAAGACTCACGCATTTCAGTGATTTCTCACGCCACACCTCTGATTTCTCACGCTAAAATAAATTTCAAGATGTGAAATGGGCACAGCTAAAAGTTTATCTGTGATCTGTTTCTTGAGCCTGATGATAAAAGACGATGATCGATATACATCGTCTTTAGTCTTTGAGGTTTTTTTTGTCGCTAAACAAATGACAAAAATGCTATTTTTCTTTATTCACTTGGACAGTTTGATCCTTCATTAATGGAGTTATGTGGGTTTTCATAAGCTGACAAAAATCAAAAGGATTTATATTACAACAACAAGCATACAATTGTTTCTATGCAACTGAATTGTCACTTGAATAAGTTATAAACAATGAGTTATTTAACATTAAGGAGTAGTTACATTTATTTTACATTAAAATAATTATTAATTAATTATTAAATAATTATTATTTTACATCTGGGGGGGCCCAGATTCTTTTAAAGATTTTAACGGGGGCACAACCAAAAAAGTTTGAGAACCACTGGCTTAAACACAAGGACATTCTAGTCAGACCTTACCAAATGCCATAACAACTGGTGAAAGATCCTTGTATATAGACAACGCATCATGTTTGCTTGTATTGTCTGTTAATTTATTGTAACATTTTATATTCAAAATTTTATGGATCTTAGTTTAGATTTTTTTCAAGTTTGAAAAAAGTATTAAAATGTAAATAATGTAAATGAATTGTTCTAACTTAATTTAGTGAAGTCCTAACCTAATTTAGAGTTGATTTACTTCTTAGGGATATTCAGTTTGCATTCATAAACACACAATTTGCATTTTAATAGCATGTTTTTCGCCCAAAGCATAAACTTCGATTTAGAGTTAATACATTCACTACATTATGCATCTCATCCATGCACTTTAGTTAAATCCACTAAGGGATTTATTTAAGAATCAATCACATAGACAAGGTTATTTTCTAATGACTTTCAAACAGCATAGACATCTCAAATGAGGTTGTTTATTGGATGATTATCCGTGGTAATTGTTTCTTGAGTTTAAATGAGGAATATAAAGGGGTTTTCAGAGTACAGTATAAGGACCAGGCTCGAAAGCTTCTTTTTTTATAGTAGCGAAGCCCCCTTGCAATCCACTTATTAAGCATTCTTGCTTTCGATTTCAAATTGACCCTCATTTATCTAGAACAGAAAGACGACAGAGCTCACCAGAATACATGTGCACCCCACACTGCATGGGCTGATTCTAATTAATGAATGACATGCCAGGTGATAGCTAATGAAGCTAAGTGATAGCTTTCCTGGGCTCAGTTGGTAGAGCTTTGCTCCAACAACGCAAAGGTTGTGGGTTCAAATACAAGAGACTGCAGGTGCTGACCAAAATGGTGTTCATTCTTTTGATATGTAAGTCGCTTTGGATGCCAACTGTCTGCCAAATGCATAAATGTAAAGGCAATGGTGAAGAAAGCTCTGAAAGACCTGGAGTCTACATAAGGAGGTTCAGCTAAATCTATCAAGGGGCTATACAGAATACTTTCAAATGTTTGAAACATTGTGAAATATTGCCTCAAAGAGGATCCAAGACCGACATGAGACAGGATCACTCAGGTGAAGGAGTTACTGAACTAGCAGAAGAAGGTGCACATGACGTTTGGTTCCACAACAAAAGCTTTGGTAAAATCATTATGGACACTACAAGACAAGAAAAATTGTCAAGGGAAGTACAGGACATAAAAGCCAGCCTCCAGTTCAAGCAGGAGGCATGGTGAACGCTGCAACTCGCTGCAGTCAGATGTGTTTAAAATTTGTGACAGTCTGCTGCTTGTCACTGACAAAATGGAGGCCAATCCAGGACAATCTGGGCATTGATGGAATGACTGAATTGCAAAATGAGACCTTGGCTGAGACGGAGGAAGAGGTGAAGACTCTTTGGACTAAAAAGTTAAACCTACAGCAGGAGATTGAACTGTTGAGGGCTCACCGTACTTGGAAACCCAGGCCAATTGTTGTCAGATTCTTGAGGTACAAAGACAGATCATCTACCCTGCAGCGCACCAAGGCTCTCAAGGGATCCAAAACAAACATCATTGAGGATTTCAGAGATGCTGTAAATAAGAGGAGAGTACTTATACCGGATCTGAAAGCAGCATGAGACAGGGGATATTTCTTATCTCCAATACGACAAGCTGATCACCCATCCCCATTCCAGCACGTATAGCCTGGTACATTACTTCACATTGACTCTGTAACGATTCATCCAGAGACCATTCAGGTCTCACAAAGTATAAAATAAGTGTAATCTTGCATCAAATAATGTTCAACTTTAATATTTTAACCATGTACAGTGTAAAATAACCTTACAAATAAGCAATTTAAACACATTACAGCTCTATCACTACCTTTTCCAGGCATTTTTGTAATCATTCCTTGCTTGTCTTAAACCGATGGCATAAAATATTCTGTTTAAAGGAGAGTTAGCCACTGTTTTTGTCACTGTAGTTCTCTCGGGCTAAAGTGTATCTCCTTTGCTTCTGATTGGCTAGATTACTTGTTTTTTGCTGGCCAATATAGAACCATGACATCATGGTACTGACAACATGTTGACTCAATGAGCTCTCAGTTTATGAGGTCTTGACAAAATCACTAGAGTCCAGAGAGTGCATACTCAGCAAAGGGTGGTCAGATGCCTCCGAAATCAAATTGGACCAAAGTTTGGAACACTTTTAAGTGTATTTTAGAAGAAATGTCAGTGAAGACATTCTTTAACCTTTGGGCTGTCAATTGCAACATTCCTCAATGAGGAGTACGAAGAATTCTAAAGAATTCCAGGAGCTTTAATACAATTTACTTGGGTTGCTTAGTAATTGTTTAATTTGATAATTTACTCTGCCCTTAATTCCTCCTTCAGCTTCTGAGTCGCAGGATGGTGGTCCCAGACGCCATGTTTGTGCATGTTTACTGATTCTAGAAGCTTCACCAGCTGGACTGTAAACATAAGGGACTTAAGTGGGCTCCAAGGTTGGTGTTCTCACAACCACAGTGAGACCTCTAGCTTCATAAACAGAGGATCAGAGGAAGCGATTGGCCAAAGAAAATCAAAATGAATGTGAGATTAAAAATGATATGATTAGAGTCAGTATGTCAACAAACTTCCCAAGGACTTCTGGGACAGATAGTATGCAATTGAGAATGTAAATATTTGATTCTTTTAGCTTAGATAAGATTTGCTACCTTCTGCTAGCAGGGTGATAACTTGAGTAAAGTGACTCAGATCTCCACTGCGTGATACACTAAATTTATACTAAAGTGGTGCTATAATCGCGTATAAAGTTTTAGATTATTAAACGAATCACATGGTTGGTAGATGAGTCTTAAAAACATGTTTATAAATGTGCTCATGAAAAATCATGAAAATCATAAAGGGCCCATCAGGCTTTTCTTTGTTGAATGTTTTATCGATGTTGTCAGCTTGACGAACTTTGACCTTTCAGACAGTTCACAATGTGCCTCATCAGTCGTAGCATGGGAAGTGGCGCTCGCTCGAGTGGAATGTGAAATGCAACGCCTCAATACCAGGACACATATTTATTTGCTCATTCATCACCGAGCATGACCTTTGACCCAAAACACTGGATCTTTTCCCGCATGCCCAGACAGTTTGCCTGAGACTCAGCTTGGTCTGCTGCCGCTCATGTGGAATCTCAGCAGGGTTCCTCCTCAATGGCCCCGTTCAGACCCATATGAGCGAAATAGTCCAGATTTGTTCTGCATCATACTGAGGCTAAAAGAAGCCTTTGTTGCAGTTTATGTTATTGTGTGATTATCTCACCATTTGAATTCTGTTAACCAAGAACTGCAATAAAACATCACAGATAAAAGGGCCACATTTACAGTTGGGGATCAAGTCTATGGATCTTGGAATGTAACATAAAGAATATATTACATTTAATGTGCATTGCTTGACTGGTAATAAAATATAAATGAAGAAAGCGCTTCACTGTTTTATGGTCTACATAGAAAGCGTGACCTCTGAAGGACCCTTTAGCCTTTTACTGAAAGAACACAGATGAGGGAAGAAATATGACCATCTGTCTGAAGAAAAGAAATTCACTATTTGAGTCCAATGTTTAAAACATAGCTAAATAAAATGCAATGCATTTTAATTATACGTTCTGTATCTAAAGTCTTGATCGTTTTTTGTGAGCCATATATAATCCCCACTTACTTGCTAGCCACTTTATTGGCCACATCTGCTCCCAAACAAATACTAGTCAGCCATTGAAGTGTACTTATAAATCAATTTAAGATTATAATCTGATGTTCAAACCAAGTTTTGGTATGAGGAAATGCAGTTAGGCTATGGGTGAAAATACTCTGAAGATCACAGAACTCAAAAAACAATTTAGAACCACAAACAATCAACAAAATCCTGACTCGTGAGTTCCACCATCAATGTGTAGAAATGCAACACTCTGAACATCCCCATACGAGTTCTAGCTTTGAGCTTTTTGTACATTATGTCATGTCTCTGGAAGACATTCTTGTAGCATTTAGGGAAGTTTATTGTATGGAAACACTTGAATGAACCTGTGAATCTCCCACCAATGTCCCAATTGTCTTCCATATAGAGTTAGGGGTTACAGAACTGAAATCAACCGGAAATCTGCCTAGCTGAAATCTTTCTTAGCTGCCTATCCACACTGATCACTGAGTTTAAGGTGGATGCACTGAGTTGGATTGTGCTTACACAGCAACAGAGACTCTTTCATGATTCGATAATCTTTGTGTTTCTCATGGTACAGTTATTTCTGCGCAGGCAGCTAAGAAATTAGCAGCTTGGAATCCATCTTTCTTAATTTCATTCGTCTTTGTTGTGAGTTGCCACCAAGACCCAACAGCAGTAATTGACATGAACATAAGAGTCAATTTCATTGGATGACTGCTACTTGTCAATTCCCAATGAGAGAGTTGGCAAAGCATGACACAAAATCCTGTTGATTGCTGATTGGTCAGTTGTTGAGTTCATTGATGCTAGAGAGAATTATCACTGCATGCATCACCACAGGGAGTGACACAAAAGAGCTTCATAAATGACAGCAATATGGCTTTTAAACTAAGCCTTTCACTTTAGTGCTACAAACAAAAGCATAAACAAAACCATTCTTTTGACACTCTTTATTCTACCTTATTATGTGTGCTCAACGATTTGTCTTTTGGCTTTTACCGTGGGGTTGTGCAATCGTATTCACTATGATGTCACCGAGACTAAGATGCAGAGCTAACCCATACCAAGCAGATTCATGCTAAAATCCAGTGAAAGTGTCTGTCTTGTTCCAATCTATTCCAGTCCTTGATTGGTGCCATTTCCATGTAGCTGCTACCCGCACCATCTTACAAGATTCATGATGTCATGTTTATTCTTTCCTCAGCATCATGAAGCTCAACTTTTCCAATCACACTCACCTGAACTTTGCCTGGATTCTCACTTTAAATCACAAACCATCGACAACACACATTTTTCTACTGTTCAGTAATCAACCTTCCTGGGCATATTTGTTAATACACCAAACTATTCCCTAAAAACAAGACCATAGAAGGAAAAAAAAACATATCAATGGTCAAACAGAATGACCTAAAGCATGAGATTCAGTCTTTATGCTTCAGAAATGATCTTCTTCTGCTGGGTTTTGGGCCCTCAATTAGAGATGGAGAGAGTCTTAGTGGAGTCCCCAGGGTTTGTATCGCAGATATTGGATGAACAGTTTGATATTTCTCAAAAGAGTTAGAGGAAGAGCAGCAGATACCAAAAGCTTGAATCCAAAGCTTGTAGTTTTGGTGGTGTAATATGTTTTAGTACATTTTCTCTTCAAATCTACATTTTGAGTTTGTGAGAAGATAAAGAGTGGAAGATAATTCTTCTTCAGGTACATAAACCTTCATTATGGGAAATTCTGTACATTTAGTGGCATGATTCAATATTCAACTAATGGGCATGATCCTGTTTCACCAGTTCCTTCAATTTTTTAAAATTTCATGGGTTCCTGCTGACAAAAGGGTTAAATCTACTGTCATCGCATGAATCTTGGCAGAGAAACAGAACACCAGTGGAGAAAAGCTGCGCTCATGGCTTCCACACAGATTAGTCTCAGGGAGCAAAGAGATACTAGTCTCCTCAAAAAGAGAGATGTGGCATTTAATTTGACACCTTTTTTTAATCCACTTTACAAATTCCACTCAATGCCTTTCCACGCTTTAGGAAGCTTCTTTCTGTATGGAGTCTTTAAACAGGAAAGCAGAAGAACAAAAGTTTTCCAGTTACTCAACGCTGTACCTTTTATTAGGCTTAACAATGTAAAAGTTTATTCTGGT